GCGCTGGGCTGAGACACTGAGGCCGCGACAGCTTCGAAAAACGCAAAGCCCCAAGATTGGCACCGCGAGAGAGAATTCTCCGGCCGCCCGCGGGCGCTGGCACTCGCGGGGGCCGCGTCCCCTGCTCTCTGCCGGCAGCACAGGAGGAGGTGACGCGGGAGTCACACTGCGGGGTGCGGCGCCAGCCGGGACCGAGCGGGCGTTCCGGGGTGTAACGGTGTCACGTCTCTTGCAGGGTAAACTCTTTGACTCTACCATAACCGATGAAGCAACGTGGACGTTAGGTAATAACCGACCCGTGAAGGGGAGTCTTGAGGGAGGTGGAGTTTCTCAGCCTGTGCTGTAGGAGAGTTTACCCTTTGTTTTTGAATGGGAAAGATTACTTTCTTCCCTGTGCATAGCTGTGTGAAAAAGGCAGTCGCCATGGCCAGACCAAGGATCTGAGGCAGTCCAGCAGCCCTAGAGATGATGGTCAGTGGGAAAGTGCTGCTTCTCGGAGGGCAGCGGCCAGTGGGTTACAAACCCTGCCGTATAGTGAGAAGGTTTTTTGCAAACCCTCTTTAAAGCTAGGCGGTTATGGTACAGCTGTGTGGTGTGTGCCCATCCGTAATTGTTACTTTTCTTGGGTTTTTTTTTCCTTCTTCTTTTATGTGTGATTTGGGATAGGTGATGTTGTATGGCTTATTTTTTTGGGATTGGTGAAAAAAACCGACAGTCCAAGAGAATCAAAAAGCAATCTCAAAATCACACTGCTACCTACAGATAATGAGCAAAAAAAGCTGCTCTGATCGTTACATCATAAACATTGTTAAGTGTTCGGACTATTTGGGGTGTTGGCCATCGTCTTTGTGGACTGTGCCCCTCACTTAATGTTTTCCGGTGATGGCTTTTGTTTTCCATTTAATATTTGTTCCAAATACTGATTGATAATTTAGTAACTTAAAGGTGAAAAGTAGAAGCGTAAAGAAACATTGTGAAGTGAAGCGTGCTCTTCTCCAGTATGCCAACAATCTTCAAAATGCACTTTATAATGCTGTATTTATTCAGTTAAGTAGAACTAAACGTCCTAGGTGTTAACTTTGAAATGTGCTTGCGATATATTGTCTGTAGGCATACTGTCTGTGTTTAAACAGATGGATTATACCTCTGTATGTCACTGAAACTTAGCTCTGGATTTTATTGGCAGTAAGTCTCTGTAAAGCCTGACCTCCACTCCTTCGTTAGGGCCTTAGCTGAGGTGTATATAATCTTTTCTCTGTTGTGAAGCTCTCTAAAAGGTTAGTGTAGGTTTGTAACAAAAGTACTTACGAACTGTGCTTTAATCCCTTAAAACAGCCTCAGCATTTTACAGGCCAGGGAGGGGAGAGAGGGCTGTGTAGGTTGTCTTTGCTTCAGCATTTCTGTTTCTTGTGAATGTTTGTTTATTTGTCAATAACCCTGTTGGCATTGGCATTAAGAATTTAAATTCCTTCACCAAAAAAATCCCATGCTTGTTAACAGTGAATTCACCAAAAGAAGAAAAAAGGACTGAGTTTAATGGTTGGTTTGTGTGTCTGGTTGCGTTTGACAGAAGACAGGAAGCTGATACGCATTGTTCTGATGAAGACAAACCGCGATGCTGGAAATTGTTGGACGTCTCTGTTAGAAAATGAGTATGCTGCTGATCCTTGGGTGCAGGACCAGATGCAAAGGAAGCTCACCCTGGAGCGATTCCAAAGAGAGGCAAGTTCAAGGGCCGTGATTACTCCCTGTACGTCGTGTTTGTGCGCAGAGGTTATGGCTGTGAAAGCTGGGCAAAATTGTTCTGCTGTCCAGTGCCGTGGAAACATCGACTGTCGGTCAGCGTATGGGAACACTCCCGAGGCTTTCTCGGTGTCCTTTCAGGAGGTTATTCCGTCTGCAGCCTGTCTCAGGGGTTTGGGAGAAGTTGAGGGCGGGGTGGCCTTGTAGGGTTTGTTGCAGAATACTAACAACTCTTAACTCAGGCTACACGCAATTTCTGTTATTATCTAGAATTAAGACATGGCCATATTTACAACAAGCTTCTAACGTCAAGCTCTGTTGAATACGTTTGTCCATAACATCAGATGATGTAGAATAGTTAACTGGAAAATATTTTCCTTGCCCTTTTTACTAAAATAGCTGAAATTGTTTTGGTACAGCTTTAGCATGTGACTATGCCTGTGCGTGTGTGCAGAGCTGTAGAGTGACGGCTGATGACTGAACAGCTGAATCGGCACGCTCTGTACGGCAACAGAGAACATCATTCTTGTGAAACTGGTTATCCAGCGTGGCACGTACTTACGTTTTCAAACAGTAATTTCAAGGCACACCAGTAGCCAGAAATTTTTCTTAAACTTTCCTTAATATTTCTTTACTGGGAGATCTAACTGTTTGCCACATTAAGAACAGGGTTACAAAGTCACTCCAGCAGCAGGCAACTAAATTATGATGATGCAGTGTTTATTTATTGATGCGTTTTCCAGGAGCTTTGGTGCCATGACAAATGGATGACAAATTGATTGTTATGTGTCCTTGTTAGAGCTGCAGAACATGAACAGAAACAGCTTCGGGCTTGTTGCTAGTTGGATGTTTGGGTTTGGTTTTTTTGAAACATTTTTATTAAGAGTAATCTACCTACTAAACTTTTATCTCCATCAGAACCCCGGATTTGACTTCAGCGGGGCAGAAATTTCTGGAAATTACAGCAAAGGAGGACCAGACTTTTCTAGTCTTGGAAAGTAACCTGCTTTGATCTGTGTTCCTTGAGAGGAATTACACACCACACCTACAGACTGGAATGGTGTAACTGGTGAAGACTTCCGTGATCTCTTCAGCAGATTGTTTTCAAGTAATTACTTCAGTGAGAAGAAAGACTTATTCCAGCAGAATGAAGACAAAGTGTTACCAGCTGATTTATAAGCTGCAATAACTTTCTAATACTAAGGGATAAACTACAGAGAAAGCTGTGCACAAAAAAGTAACATATGGAGACAGAATGTTGGTTTTGGGTTTTTTTAGAACCACCACAGTAAAGTAGCCAGTTATGAACTGTCTTTATGCAAAGATATCTTACTTGCCATTGAGGAATAGATCTTGTAAGCAAGATACACAGTATTTTCTCTTAACTTGCAAGGGGCAGGGTGTTAGGATGGCCACAGTTACGCTGTCCCTGTGTAGCAGCCCTCTGAGAACTAGTTGTCCTTCTGAAACAGTGGTTTAAATAAACTACCGCATCTTGCCTCGAATAAGGTTTTACAGTCCACGGTGCCGTCAGATATAGCACTAATGATTGATACTTGCTGCTGGGTGAACCATACTACAAAACAGAAAGGTCGGGTGAACGTCTGGATATAAATAATTTTATGTGTTAATGTAATATAGCATTTCAGAATAAATATTTAAAATTTTGAAAGTAAGATAATGACTTTTGAAAGGAATAAAAAGCCCCCAAGTAGGGAATGGTATCTTGCATCTGTTCATTACCAGCCTCTAGCACAAGTTGTTGATAGTGTATCTAAGAAGCTGTAGATTTTTGTAGATAAAGTTTTAAATTTAATAGCGACTTTTTAAACTTAGCTATTGCATGATACAATATTTTGCACGTGCCAATTATGTATCAGGAGTTTTCTGCTCATTGCTAAGCATGCAGCTGAGAAGCAGTGCAGCCACAGCATTATACAGGACAAATGCTGTGTCAAACAGACCAACAGAGGGAGAAAACGCGATTCCCAAGTCCCGTCGTGTTCTGAATCTGACAGTACCGCATATACTTCGGTCCTAAGTGGAAGCTGTGCTGGAGGTAAATTGCCAGCCGCTGGCCATCATACTGCAGAGTCTTGTTTCTAAAATTGCATCATTATTGCAGTTAGCACACGGCAAAATTAAAGCAATAGTTGAGGAGGAATGCTTTCATTGTAATTGTATCCAGTGCTTGTTGCGTGAGCAGGCGAGCGCCAAGTCCTCCTGAAGTAACCAGGTGTGCTCCCTCTACCTGTGTCATCTTTACAGAGCGTGAACCAAGTCCAGAGACGGTGCTTGGGTTCTGGAGAACTGGCCTTACTGCTCCAAGGGAAGTCGTGGGGTATCAAACGCTGACTGATGGCTGTGAAGTCTTGTATCTGACACGTCAGTGCATGGACTTTCCTTTACTATATGCACTTTCAAAGCTAAACTTCATTCCCATGTTTTCTGCTTTATGAAGTAGCACGAGAGTCATCCTAGACCTGAGACCAAAGCTGACATCAAGGCAAGAGGACAACTGTGAAGTATGTATTCCAGCATCATAGCTTCGATTTCATTTTAAGAGGAAAGGCTTCAACTACTTGGTTAAGTATTTTATTGTCTGCTGTAAGTTACAGACTTCCACTTTCAGAAGAATCTAGATGAAAATAAAAAGAGTTTGATGCTATGACTTTCCTCAATCAGCATCTACTCAGTTCTCGGCCCGTAACAAAGGGTGGTTTGTGTTCCATCTCGCTGGGATTCAATCCCTTCCTTCTTAGCCGAACAGTAACAGGTGTTTGACAGGCATCAGTCTGGGTATGCGATACGGTACCCAGAACAGCCCCCTCTCCAGGAAACAATCCTGTGCACTCATGCAGAGTGCTACTCTGCTATGGAAATGAGTGGAAGACAATCCCCTGGCCTTATTTTCATGTGTCTGGTTCAAGCTCAGCCGAGAGTAATGCCACAGCATTGCACTCTCAGAAGGAGCACAGCTGCTCCGAGTCCTCATTAGGCACAGAAATGTATAGCTCAGCTTACACCTCGTCAAACTGGGATGCTCCCATCAGTGCAGAAATGCAAATATTGCAAGTAGAAATCTGAGTGCCAGATTCTTTTAAGAAAGCACCATCCCTATATTTATTGCGACTTATAAAAACAGGTGATAGGTGTTATTAGATAAATAATGGAAGAGTGTTGGAAGTGAAATTTGAACAGTCTAAGCTTTTTCAGTCTTGACACTTTCACATCTGAAAGGATTCAGAGTCAGTGGGCCAAGGTGAAATAATTTTAAGCACCTTGAGTTCTTCCTGTTGGCTCTCTAGCCTTTCCTGTGCAGCCTCAACCTCTTCAAAAAAGAAAAAAAAAAAAAGAAACAATCTCCTTGATCTCTTCCCTCCTGCCTGGAAGTTTTCCAGGTACGGTTCAGATAAAAAGTCGCTTTATAGGCTTTCTACTGCGATGTTTCGTAACAAATGGGAAGAGAGTTGCTCTGTTAAGCACGCTGCAATGTTTAATTGAAAGGTCCATATCTTGAGACATGACAATACCATCAGAACCGCACATTGCCTCTAATCCATCTCTCCCAGCAGGCTGACCACACCTTTGTCCAACCCCTCGTAGGCCTTCCAGAGGCCAGCACACCCCGCAGGGGGCACTGACAGACGCAGAGCCCACTTACATGTCGTGTAGTGCAGTCACTCCCGTGAGTTCACAATTCATCTGGTACAGAGCTTTGGTACACAATTTTCTGTGAAAGGTTTAAGGAGTGTGGGATATGCAAAGAACGGTTTCCCCCTCAGCCGTTACCATAAAGTGGAAAGGGCTGGCCGGCTAACATCTAAGCCCACACCATGTTCTGAACGTTCTGATCCCTCCCTCTCCACCACATCAGTTCATCTGGCTGTGGGCTGTTACCAGCCCATCGCTAACCGCCTCTGCTCTGCAGCGATGCGGAACTCAAGAGGTCATTAGCGACGTTCCCCCAACACCCCCACTCATCTTACATACAGTAATACACTCTTAGGACTCACTTTCCTGTTAGCACCAGAAGCACGATACGCCTCAGGTACTGATCTGGTCTTCAGAGTTGTATTTTATGAAGCTTACGGCTAACGAGATCAGAGTCCAGGCAATCTCCAGTGCGTCTCAACACGATTGCTCCTACGTCCAGGCCAAGCTGGGGCAGTAGCCCTGCTCCGACCGTGCCTGCAAAGCTGCGCCCGTTCAGCATCAACATTTGCCTCCTGCACAGTGACTCTGGAAAACTGCCAGATTTGGGGCAGCTGGCCCACTACTTCCCCTCAACTTTCTTTAGGTATCATGAAGCTTTTACACTCTATGAAATAATTCGTCATCTCAGCAAACTACACCTCTTGCAAAATGCTGCAGTTACTGGTGCTGCGTTAGCGCCAACCTTTTCCAAGGCCGTGAAATCAGGTTTCTCTCCCCTCCTGCTCTAGCCACTTCACAAGTTCAGCGGGCAGCACGTCGCCTGGTTCTCAGTCGGTGTCTGCGGCAGAAGGCCGGTGCCCTGCCCAGAGGAACACGCAGACATGGGGCGCTGCCCGAAAGGCATGTCAGGTGATGTGACAAGCGACAGCCATTTGCTGTTGTCATCAGTACTGAGCGGGATTAGTCTTCAGCTCGACTGAGACACTGCGGCACTGTGCCACTGCACATGATGTTTTCCTGGTCTCACACAGTCTGTGGGAAGCGAACCAGACTTTTAAAATTAAATATGTAATTCAGCACCTGCAGTTACAGTAAACCAAGGCTAGACTACACGAGCTGCTCTACAAACTATAAGGTGTTAAAATTCCTTGCATCGGTATTGTGGTATTTCACGGAACAGTAAACAGTCTGACAAATAAGACTGGAAACTGACACCGAATATTGTTGTAATCATCATGAAAAGAACATATTTGCTGAAAGGATCGTTACTCTGAAATGTTACATATTCTCTCCACCAGTTGCATTCTTTGTTATTAAGATCATGTCTCAGACTTTGCTTCTCAAATATTCATGTGTCTCTTGACAAGGTCACAGGATGGTTCTCTCCTCATTTTATTGTACTCCTGTAAAAAAACCAAACCAAAACCGACCAGTCAGTGAAAGGCCTTCTACCAGAGCCAAAGCATCAGACTTTACTACAGCAAGACAACAGCAAGACAGCTGCTATAGTAAATACATAGGCTTTGGAATTAAAGTCTAGATAAGGAAGTAGTTCACAGTTTCTACAGAGTAAAAAAAACAGTAATATGAATAACTGAATTACACTTTTTAGACTTTACTAAACAGACAGTTATACAAGTAAAACTGCATAAAACTGTCTTCCTTTTAAGCAGTTTAAGTGAACCATTACCAGAAACTCTAACAGGCAACTGTTTCCCTTTTCGCCGATTCTTTTTAGGGTAGAAGCACGCCAAGCTTTTTCTCTGCCTTTTTACCAGTTTTGCTCCATGTTTCGAGTTTGAATGAGGTCCCAATGTCTGTAGAACACGTTTGTGCTCCCACAGCACACCAGAGGATCAGTTCTTTCGCCAGCGCTCGTATTTGAGGTTGCCACTTCTTTAGGTACAGCACTGGCTCGAGCAAGAACACAAGAACAGGCCAGCCTCTACGACAGGCCTGCTACAGTTAGGATACAGGTCTCCAGGAGGTTGTCTGTACGGACTAAGAAACTTTGAGGCAGTTAACAGCTAATTACTTCTACATTATCAGAAGCTGACTGTTGATTTTACAAGGAGTTACCTGTTAGGAGCTGGTCTCTGGGATTGTAGGGAGGTGTGTTATTCTGTAGTAGCTATGTTTAAGCTGCCGTGCTGTCCGCCCAGACACAATCCATTTTAATTTCTGGACGTTTGGTTTGGAACACTTGCTTGAGGAATATTCTGTAAGGCACTTTAACACCAGTTCCTTCCAGAAGGTCAAATCTCTGTTGCTTATCTAAATAGCAAGACAGAATCTCGTATGTTAATACTCATTAAATGGTTATTTCATACATGTACTTTCAGCTTCTTCACGTAAGATAAGATGACAAAGATCCCCAGCCAAATGGAAAAAAACCCCACCCAGCAAAGCCACAAAAGAAACCAGTATGCCAATGGACCTCCCCTCTCCCCACCGTGTAGGCCCTTGCAGGCATTCTTCTTCCTCGGTCCCCTGAAACTTTATCAATGTACCTTGGAATGCAGTCGCAGAAATTCCAGTGCCTCTGTCAACTCCAGCAGCTTATGTTCTTCTATCTCCAGTGCCATAATAGACAGTGCCAAGACAGAAGGCTGAAGAGAGAGAAAATATTTTTAAATGCTACTTTGTTAAGTTCCAGTAGTCTACCTGTCTTTGAGCTTTCGAGACATTTACCTTGGCTTTAGAAAACATGATTCTGCAGTGACATGCCTTAAGCTGGGTCTCGAGTCTCTCAAAATTAAGGTATTTTCTCCTGTAATAAAAACAGATGAGTGAATGTAGAAGAATGCAAGTTTGATCAAGGCAGCACCGCCCTGGGAATTCAGAGAAGCAGCGAGAACTTTTGTCACCTAAACAAAGGCCTCATTTGTCCCAGAAGTTCTAGGGTTACAGTCAAACAGGTGTTCCGTTTTGGCAGTCCCAATACCAAAAATGACTCTTGTGTTACACTGGGGAGAGCTGCACTGTCAGAACAGGCTTACCAAAAAGGAATTTCAGTGCTTGCCAGCAGAAGGAACCTCTTTCTAAGCCAGATTTTGAAATCTTTGCAATGAGGCAATACTTAGTGCAGCATAAGCAGAGATTTATTACACCATCATTACTGAGCAAGTCTAGTTTTCGGGTCAGAGCGCAATACTCTTCAGATCAATTTATGCAAACAACATTTAAAATTAATATTAAACCACAGATACTCATGTTTACAGTATTTAGCAATAAGGGGGAAAGTCTGTGGGTTTTTTAAGTGTAGAAAAGCCACGAGTAAATTCGTAATTACTCAAGTAATTTCCCTGCTTACTTTTCTACACAGGCTTCCTGATCATAGGCAGTCATAGCAAAATAAGCAGTAGATATTGTACCTTTCACAGCTCAAATTCTCATGAATGAGTGAATAATATAGTTGCAGAAATTGGAAAGCTGTTGTAGCTTTGACTTTCCAGCACAGCTTCTCCAATACAATTTTCTCCATTCTCATCATATCGGAAACAGTGAACCTGTACTGGCTTATTCGAATTAAGTCAGTGGCTAAAGGAACATTTCTCTCTTCTTCCGATGCCTTCACCGCCAAGTAGAAGCAGCTGAGGCCAACACAGCCCAAGTGTTTCGGCTGTACCTAAAGAAAAGTAAATTGTTGTTACTTTCAAAGAGGAAGGCCTTTGCTCATACATTCCAACATGTAAGTACCAAACTACATAGGCATCAATGTGTTTTAGGAAAAAATTATGGGAAACGGGGGGGTGTTGTTCTGTTTTTAGAAGATTGAGGAGTAAGTCTTTTATCTACCTACATTTTTATCTTTATTTAACTAAATGAGAAGACCGCTACACACTACAAGTTCTGCCTCGTTCATCTAAAAAGCAAGATTGCAGATCAATATATTCTGATTGAAGTAGAACTGGTTTCTTAATGAGGTTCTACAATAGCCCAGTCAGAAGCTTTTAGGACTTAAAGCGTCGAACATATTAGCTTATGCCAAAAAAGAGGGGTTTTTTTACTCTCATCTATATATATATATACACAAATATATACATACATACATATATATAAACTAACTTATTTTATTCCATAGCCTTTACAGTCCCCATCTTTACTGCTTGTTTTGGATTCAGAAGCCTTTCAAAGCATCATTTTCCTATCCGCCCCATCTAGCTTTCTCATTTTTCTTTTAAAACACAAGGAAAACAAGCTTTTGTTCTTGACCAGATAGTCCAGCGATAATCCCATCTCGTTAGACAATAAAAAACAACCCAGGTCAGCATGCCACACACGCACAGTGGAATGGAGCGCTAACTAAATGTTTCACCAGATTCAGAGTGCTGAACAGCGTCAAGCCTCTTGATGTGCAGGAGGCTCACAGGCAGGCCGGAACAGCAGCCAAATAAGAAGTAATTTAAGGTGTGCTTGCACACACGCAACAGATGAGACAATCTGCCTTGCTCTAACCCACTGACACGGCCTGCATTTCCAACTCTGCGGGCATCCTCCACTCGACACCGATGCCCTCTTCCTTCTCCAGAGAAAACAGCTTTCTTAACAGCACTAAAATCTGGACAGGGAAAGCCATTTTTTAGCTCATGAGCAATCAGCATCTCTGGAAGGAGCTTGGCCTTTAGCCATCTAGAGCCAAGACATTCTAACTTTGAACAGGAACAAGGCTGCAACGAGCAGGAGCTAATGACCGAGAGCTTCAACCTTAAAAAGCCTTACCTTCATTTTTGACAGAAACCTATCCAGGAAGTTCACGGCCAGCGAAAAAGTCTCGGTACGGAAGCCAAAGAACTGCGTTAAGCTGAGCAGATCCTTCACCTCGAAGTCCCGCAGCCTGGGGGTCATCCGGAGGCCGTTGTCGTGAGCGGACTCGATCAGTCGCAGGCCGGAGGCCTTGGGCTGGCCCCGGGGCTCCTGCTCCGCGAGGGCCGTCAGCTGGTACAGCAGCTCCCGCGGGC